GAGGCGAAGGGGGGGGGGGGTGAACAACGTTTCCAACGCTAGGGTCGGTGGATCAGATGGTCGAGCAATCATCACACCAACATCCAACGCACGTGATGAAATTGCAGCAATTAACGACGCGAATGTCGTCCATCAAACAGTCATCACACTTAGGGAAACGATCCCCGATGAAGAGGGGAAAGGGGTGGAGCCTTGGATATTCATAGGTATGTTGCAGCATGCCGACTGCATCCTATAAATACTGCAGCCCCTTGTGCATGAACCACTCGTATCTACTTTCACCTCTGATGATGGGTTAGAACGTTTCAATCGAGAACCCGTATTCGAGCATATGCTTTTCTAAATATTGATTGCACCTGCCGATATTACTCACCATGCCATAGCTAAATTATGGTTCTGCTGTTGTACGTGCTCATTGACCGGAGAACTCGACAGTCGATTGAGAGATGCGCTTTGTGAAATTTTATGCCATGACAATTGTCTGCTACGGCGACATATCCTTACACAGAAGTATTTGTTGTAGACGACTGCAGATTATCCCATCTCTTTGCGCGACTCACAGGCTGGCAAAGAGCTGGAAAATTGGCCTGGAATACTTAAGTAATATACGTCTTTCTCGAAGTATTTCATCTCTTTCCCTCTCTTCATTATTTGTGTTTCACATTCTGCCCCTCAAGAAGGGATACCAGAATGACTATTTCAAAGTTATAAGCTGAAATCAGCCAGTGATACCTAACTGCATGTATGTAACTACTGTTCGGTCGGTTAGAAGTTCAAGAGTTTAATCACGCTGTCCCTCTCTTTCTCCCTACCTCTCTTCCTTTATATGCGCATGTTAATCTAACCAATAACAAGAAGGAGACACGATCGCCGGGACAAGAACTTTATTAGCCTGACGTTTCGGATTCCTACTCGATTCCAGCATCAGAGACAAAAAAGCAGACACGGGTGGTTGCTGCACAAGGGGCTGCGGTATTTATAGGATGCAGAAGCCATGCTACCGCATACCTATGAACATTCACTGCTCCCCTTTTCATCCGGGATCGTCGTACTTGGTGTGATCACTGCTTGATGGCCGACATTCGAGTCGATAATTGTTGCAATTTCATCACGTGCGTTGGATGTTGGTGTGATGATTCCTCGACCATCTGACGCACCGACCTCAGTGTTGGAAAAAGTGTTCACCTCTGCGTTCCCCGCATGGCTTGTTACTACGCCTAGGCGACATTTTAGCACGCACTATGGAGTGGGAAATCGTTACACTTGTTGATGGACTGGGGGCAAGTAAACCATGATTTCAGTAGCTCCCGGCTCACGCGGTTGTCACCTCTTGCGAGAATTTCGGCCTCATCGAATTTGAATGTGTGGCCGGATCTCGTCGAATGAGCCGCAACTTGAGAGCTGGCGTCATTTCTGCGCACCGCTGCCGCGTGTTCGACCATTCTCGTTCGGAGCTGTCTTCCGGCTTCTCCGACGTAGTTGCTTTGTCCGCAACTGCACCAGATCCGATAAACGACTCCAGACGTTTTTAGCCGTGGCAGTGGGTCTTTCGGTTTCATGATCAGACGCCTGATGGTTGCCTCCGGTCTGTGTGCAACTCCAACCCCAAGTGGTGCGAGAAGGCGGCCAACAGCTTCCAAAACGTTCTTGACATATGGAAGTGCCCGCCAAGATTTGGTGTCCGTGTGGTTAGGCCTTTCGTCCCTTTTGCGTATTCACCGGTCGACGAAGTTGCGCGGGTAGCCATTGGCTTTGAAGACCCGTCGGAGGTATTGTAGTTCGACAATTTTATCTTTCGGCTCACTGCAGTGCGTTTCGACACGCCAGTAGAGCGTCCTTACGCAACTGCGTTTGTGGCCGATTGGGTGGTTACTGTTGAAGTTCAGTACTTGCATCGTATTTGTCGCTTTCCTGAACACTTTTGTTTTTAATTCACCGCAATCTTTGCGGCATACGAAGACATCTAGGAAGGCCAGCTGGTTGTTCTCTTCCTCCCTTATTGTAAATTGAATGTCCGGGAAGACGGCGTTGAGATGTTCTTGGAATGTCAACACCTGATCCCGTTCGATGACGACGAAGGTGTCATCCACATACCGGGCCCAGAATTTCGGTCTGTGGTGTTGGAAGACCAGCGATTCTAACCGCTGCAGGAGCGCCTCGGCGATGAATCTCGAAATCGGCGAACCCATTGGTGTGCCCTTCACCTGTTCGTAGACTGTCCAGAAGGGCCATTTCAGAGTTATAAGCTGAAATCAGCCAGTGATAGCCAACTGCATATATGTAACTACCTTTCGGTCGGTTAGAAGTTCAAGAGTTTAATCACGCGTAGAATCGGTAGGACGACGCCTGTGGAATATTTTCCACTAAAAAATGGAATTTTCAAAGTGTGGGTATTTCCGTCTACTCGTTTTTTCGGCTTAGCTTCAGATATCGACCATGCTACTTGTTTTTGACGTGGCGTCAATTACTATGTTTTGACCAAAAGAATGTGTTGTTATCGCAGTCCTGGAACTTCACAACGCCAATTTCACCTTCGCCACCGAATATGCTATTAGGTCAGCCAAATACAGTCGTTCTATGCTGAAAATGTGTCTGTACTATTGAAATCAGTGGGTTGGCTGAATAGGTCCAGAAAGGGGGTCTCACTGAATCAAAAATGGGTCGACACTACTCGCGTTTCATCAATGTACGCAATATAGTCTGCTTTGATATTATTTATATGGATATGTATATGACGAATTGAAGATCAGTAACGGCCGTGAAACAGCTGTCTGCTTCTGGACTGGGGCACTCTTAGTGGGCTGCTTATGTATTGCATGCAAACATATGTCAAGTAGGAGATCAACCCTCACAGTTAGTCTTGGTGAAACTAATTATTTTTCATTGGACCTGAACGGGTCTGTATGGGAACGAGGCCCAAACTGAACGTTTGATTGATAAGTGTAATCTATTAAGGTTCGTCCTTTCATAAAAACGGGATATGTGAATAGAGTGGAGGAGGGGGGGGGGAGTAGAGAAGGGGGTCAGTGACAGTGAGTGTTAGGTTGAGCCGTGTCAAGAGCGGCGGCGGTGGAAGGGGGGAGCGCGGAGACCTGTACACAGTTAATCGATCCTGGTCCACGGTAGACGCGGAGCGTGCAAGAGGTTCTTTTGCGCGCACAGACCTTTTCCTCTGTAGCCTGATGGCAGTTGTCTCTGCTATTGCTAGTAAACGCTGACCCAGTCGCTTAGGGTAGTTAGGTGGGGCCCTGTGACTCAAACGGAAGGCTTCGTTGTAATAGTATGAGAAACCACAGGCGAAGTATGTCATCTTTTCAGAAATGACCGCGTTTAGTACGGATTTTAGACAAAATACACACTATGCGGTCTGCCAAATGATGGAAGTAAACATTTCGTGCAATGTTACCCCGTGCAGTGGCATGCAAATATATATATTTTTGTTTTGGGTAATGTTTGGTTATGTGGTCCCACCTGTTGGGCAATTCTGTAGGGGTTGGAATAAGGCGTTATAGTTAGGAGTAAGGTTAAGTATTTGGTTTAGGGGCTATGGTGGGGGTTAGGGGTTGTGCAACTATTTCTCAGACACTCAAAGTACAACTGCGCATTCCCAATAGCTTTTCTTTTGCATAAAACCACTTTCTCCTCGCGGTCTTTGCGTTAGACGTCTAAACGTCTTATTACCACCGGCCTCGTATTACAGGTGGCCGAGGTTTTTACTTCAGGTGGGTCTACATAACCACGTCTGACCGTTTTTGTTTTGGGTACGTTGACAGCATGTTCACGCTATCGGGCACACTTTTGGTGTCCCAGTTCACCAACGAATCACTGTGAGTGAGCGCGTCCTTAACAGCCTAGTGCGAATGAGGCGTTCTCATGTTTTATGACGTCAGCATTTGAAGAGGAGATTTTCATGATAGAGGAGTCGGCTGAAGATAGCAGAGACTCACACCCACCGTTGGTCGGGAGAATCGAGTCACTGTCAATACTGTAAGCGGCACAATGTGTGAACATATCAGAGAGCAGCAAAGACGCATTCCCTGTGTCTTATCTAAATTCATTAAGGCCGGCCTTTTCCCACTAGGAGGTGGAGTTAATGGCCTGGTAGACTACGTCATTACATGAAAAATGTGCTATTCCCCGCTCCTGACATAAGTGCTGGCTAAAAGCCCAGCCATGTGTTGCGCAGTTAGTTTGATTTTGCGTGACACAGTTCAAGGGACTCGGCTGCGCAGTTGGTTCCGCAGCGTTGTCTATGCGGCTTCTGGAATATGAAATCCAGACAATATTGGATCTAAACATTTCAGAGAGTACTTCGCGCAGGACATGGTGTGACGTCTACGGGACTTAAATGCTTATTATTTTATCAATTATATTGAATGCATTTTGTATTGATCCATATAGTTCGATTTACGGGGATTTCTTGTAGGACTACAAGTTTATAGACCCCCGAAAAAAGGATTTCTTTTCACTCGAATTTTACTTTGGCACTGGTAAGCAATCAGGATGCAGACTTTTTGTATTGTGGTCTGCTCAACGTCTAGCACTCACTGTGTATTTATGCCTAACGATACTATTATTAGTGAAAAAACGCAAACGTCTACATCTCCTTTTAGAAAGCAAGGAGTATAAAATGACAGGGCGACAAAGGACGCATGCGGTGGCATCTACGATTATTCATATCCCATGGTTCTGCTGTGTCACTGTTGAGAATCTGGAGAAAAACATTATTATTATCCGCTCGGAATTTGTATTTTCATACCCGTCACGGAAGTGCACGGTGCATCCAAATCCACGCTTAATTCATTTTGCAGTGTTTGTGTAGATGCAGTCCTTGGACAATTTCAGTTTTTGCAATCGAAATTTTGAAAAAGTACTCACGCACACCACATGACACTTCACACATAAAGACATGCAGTGGGCTGATTTCCTTGGAAATGCCTATGAATGGGATTTTCCGGACGCCACATGAACGCACTGAAATTGCTATCATCCAATCAAATATGAGTGGAATCTGTGGAGATGCTATATATGTGGCGTACGATTTCCACCGTATAGCGGGCGACAGCCTCCTTCGACAACAAAAAATGGGACTCCGATCGTTGATCCTACTCCCGGCTGCATTTATCTTCCTTGGTGGCGTTTTCGGTAAGTCCGGTCACTTAATCCTCTGCTTTGCAATTCCCCTATCTTGCATCTTCATCCCACAGTCCATAGTTTAATGTAATGCATCCCGTTCCATGTTTGGCATTGCAAAAACGCGCATGAGGACGTCCTTTATTGTTGCTGGAATTTCGCTAACGAGATTTGTGGACACAATCTCCAATCTCACCCCAGTTTCTAACTTGCAACTTCATCTTTCCTGCTTTTAGCACGCACCGACGGATCATCGGATTATAAATTATGCAAAGGTGAACATACAGAGTGTACGACTTTAAACTTCAAGCCTGGAGATCAGACCAAAGGCCAGCACTGTCGCACGGCCTGTTCACAGAAAATAGGTCTGTATATTTACCTCATACATGCCTTCTTCTGAATTTCAATGAATTCTGAGTATACTGCATATATTTTTAGATTCCTAATCGACGCGGCCATATAGCTCACCAGTCATCAATCTCCTTCTTGTCCTTTAGGGGGCTTAAGCGAGAAAATCACAGCCTACTACTGTGAAACTCCTGAAGAGCCCTGCACATTGTACGACGTTTACGGACGACCAGGGTACGGCAGGAACTTCGAAAGGCATGTGGTCTGTGTGCAGGCGTGTCAATTTGTCGCGAAAGGTAAACCGCTATATTGTCCCTCCCCCTCACCCCCGATAGCACTTGCGCGCTCGTCTGCTCAGCATGTCAAACACCCGCAGTACTGACTAACACTCATTTTAACAGCATCAAAATTAACATCCGAGGCGCATTTACATGACATTTAAGAATTGTCTTCTCACTTTTCAGTGGAACAGAGCACCGAGACGTCCTTTAAACTATGCAGGGGTGTCGAGGAGAGATGCAGTGCAATTGAGAAGAAGGTTGGTACATTCGATGGCTTCAGAAAGTGCATTTTCAAGTGTGATGGCTGGGTGAATTGTAAGTTCTCATCGGATATCTTTGGCAATTGCAGCGCTTTGTGTCATCTTCGTTCTTGTTCAGCTAGTAAGCTGCGTCTTTTGTCCTCTGAAGTGGAAAATACTAAGGAGAACACAGCATACCTCTGTCCTCTGAGCGGCGATTGCCAGAAAGGCAATTACTTCACGAAGAGGAATGAAGCAGGCGCATTTGCCAGCTTGAAGACCTGCTTCGAGACTTGCATGTCAGGTGAGGTTCCACACGCATTGCATCTTGTCATTGTAACCTAGTAAGTACTGGTTCGCGTACCAGTTCGCTTCCATTGCGATATACGATAGGGAATTTGGACAGGCATATACAATTTACAAGTCCAAGTCCTACAGAGATATCATGCAATATCGGTATTCGTGCCTTTGGCAGTTATAATTACTTACAAGGTAGAAGTGTGACGTAAGCCTGTATTAAGAGCAAATGAATACATCTAGGTCCTTATCCTCTACTTGAGCCAACGCGTTTTATGTATGTCAGAATTTATGTCATTAACTTGATAGACAGTTCAACCGTCGTTTTCGACGATGTCCAGCGTGTGCTGCACAGTAAAGTGGAGCAGGGACGGAGATTTGCTCGTGATTTAGTTCGTAGTGAATGCGGACTTACGTAGCATCTGTCGCACCCACTCCTATTCCCCCGCCTGCACCCGGTGTCAAGACAGAGTCATTAACTTAAAGATGCATTCATAAGCCTGTAGCTCGCCAGTAGTTTCAAGGCCTCACATGGCTGTTACTGAATTCTGTGAAACAATGCGATTCCATTCTATATCGTCAGCCTTTAAAGATAAATTAATTGCTACGCGGACGGCAAATCCACACACTTTATGAGAATTACGTAATTGTTAATATAAACTGCTGTTTGTATTTCAGAGTGAGCCTATGCGGCATATTTTGGTGGTGGGTGAATTCAACTGAACTTGCTCTTTTATTGGTGTGGTTTATCTGCAATAGCTTTACGAATTAAATGTGTCGGGTCCTATGCATGAATTTCTTGGAGAGATAACGAGCGGACAGAAATTTCGAATTCCTTGCAAAGCCATTGTATCCCACCGATAGAGGTTCATTGATGCGGCTGCACCAATGAGGAGTCCGTTATCACTAGACTAGTTTATCTCATGCTTTCTGGCAAAACTCATACTGCAGCCGATAAAAATGGAAAGAGGATGGATATGTGGGGTTATCGATTTTCACCATGATTCGGAGGGAGTCTAGGGTGCATTCTTTCATTGACGATCTTTGCGTCAGTTGGAATTATGTCCTTGGAATAATCAACCGATTCGAGGAGGTGTAGCGATAATTTGTGAATAAGCCGCGGAAATTCAATGGAATACGTTCAGGGTGTACAGAGTTTAAGATGCCAAAATAAGGGTAGGACGCCAGAGGTGAAATTCAAGGCATGTCAATGAATATGCGGGCCTAACATTGCGCCATTTGACACAATGTAATGCGGCTAAAGTTTACTTCCTCAAAATGGGACTGCTGCCAAATTCCCCGTTTAATTCTGGAATTACAGGCACTTTCAATTTGCGTGGGGGTTAGGCTACAGTTTGCTGACGGTTAATCTTACAAAAAGAAGGTTTTATGATGAAGCTGGCCTACGCTACTAATGCATTTTTCAGCAGCTAGACAACCCAATTAGTGTAAGAGGGAGAACACGAGTAGTAAACTAATTTTGTTTTATAAAAGCATTGCCATATTTCATGGCCGACCTTACTCCGAGGCTGAGTGCAAAGTGGATTAACTGGAAGATGCGAATAAAGCCGCTTAGGACGGTTAACACTAGAAAAGAAAATTAAATTCCGACCTCCTTGTGGCCGTGGGGAGGAGTTCTTACCTGATGTAGAGACGTCCTAATGAGAGGCATCATTCGAAATCCTTTGGTCTCGAAAACGACCCATTGCAAAGATTGCATAGGGTGATGCAAATGACATACGTGGGCTTCATGCGCAAGGGGCTGCCGTATTTATCGTGAAATGTGCAATCATTTAGCATGACATCTGCTGGTTGATTAGTACTGTTTACAAAGTATCAAACATAGCCTGCATCCGTCGCGAAGTTCTAAGGCCCTTAAACGACAGTTTGTTTGCGTAAGGAAATTTGAGGTTTTTCTTGCAGGGGAAATATCGACGTGTACCAAATACATTCGATCACCGATTGAATGATCGTTTGATGGCGGGATTGATACGCTAGGCACCGCTTGCTGTTGTGGAGTGATTCGCCAAATTACCTTCGAGCATTTGACGAGGTTATAGAGATCAACTAATTACGGCTATGAACACACCAAGTGTCTCTGATTGAGCTCAAAAAAGCCCATTCTAGGAGACTTTAGAGTTCTTATATACTCCTGTTTTGCAAAGGATTTGGCTGGTTTTTGTTTGGTCTCAAATCCCCAAGCTTGCTTGCGGTGTCTCCAAACGAAGAGCGATTAATCAGTTACCTTTAGGACTTCATTCAAATAGGTAAGAGAATTGAATGATCATCTCCTTTTGGTGTCTCATCCTCATTCAGGTTTCTGCAGATACTGTTGACTGGTGTATCCCTCTTCATAGTAACACTGTCTTGAGAAAGGCCACTCTTGCTGAAAATCGCAGCCACGTGACTTTCTTACTGGCAAATGCGCAAATGACGCTGTTAAGGCCATGAATGGCTTTTTTTAATTGTTGGCTGGAGATGGTCCAGCCCCTTCTAACCGCAGTGGATATAACCTTCAAGGTATATATTCGTCTTTTTATAAGGCATCCATGTAGACGCCGACGATTCATCTTATGGCTGACACGTTCCCATATAAATATACAGGCTCCTGAAAATTTTTCGAAAGCATGCTTGTGCTTGCCAAATACACTTTTTAATGATCATCATTGGTCGGAAATAGTCTAGCTTCCACTTACTGAAGTCGACGTGACGTTTAATTAGATATGGTCCTTCTACTCAATCGATTTAAGCAGCAGTTATGTGTTCTTAATTTTCCTTGCGAGTCGTGCAGACAACCATTTGTGGGTTCGGTATATTGCATGATAGCTTTGTCGACATCGAACGGGATCGAGTTATGGATTTCAAAGAACATCTCAACGCCATCTTCTCGGACACCCAATTTACGATGGAGGAAGGGGAAAACAACCAGCTGGCCTTCCTTGATGTCCTCGTCTGCCGTTAAGATTGTTGTGGCCTGAAAACCAAAGTATTCAGGAAGGCGACAGACACGGCGCAAGTACTGAACTACAACAGAAACCACCCAATCAGTCACAAATGCAGTTGCGTAACGACATTATACAAGCGTGTAGAGACACATTACAGTGAGCCGGAAGACAAGTTTGCTGAATTTCAATACCTTCGACGAGCATTCAAAGCCAATGGCTACCCGCGTAACTTCGTCAACTAGTGTCTACTTAAAAGAGACGAGAGGCGAAATCCAACCGACCCCAAATTTTGGCGAGCTCTTTCGTACGTGAAGAATGTCTCAGAAGCCGTCAGTCGTCTTCTCACACTCCTTGAAATTGGGATAGCACACAGACCGGAGGCAACTATAATGCGTCAGATCATGAGGCCGAAATACCCATGGCCACGGCAAGGGACATCTGGATATGAACCTGTGTTCTTTGGTCATGGAGCATTCTAAAACCCAACGCTCTGCAACTGCGTCATGGGCCTCTCGTCTTTTTCAGTGTTGTCGGCGACTTCTGCCATGGTAGAAGCGCGTTTACTGATGAGACTACGGAAGATGCTGCTCGTCCGTTTTAATGAATAAAAGAATAATGCGTGGATTTATGGAGCGGCAAAAATGCTGATTCTAATCACTCCTATAAATTTAAATCAACATTATAATTTGAAATACAGTTGAGACTAGCAGCTGCGGCTTTGACTCAAGTCTACTTCGGGATTTCGTCTGAGATTTCTTTTAACCAAAGAGAGTACGCATTGGAAGCATTGAGGACCTATATATTTCCTCCATCTAGCGGACAATGAGCATCATTAGCTGGAGTTGATGTCGCAGTGTAATCTTGTACTGGACAAAGGTTGCGGGTAGCGCATGGTGAACGGGCACTATTTAACGTCTCCCGAGTTTGGCACGCATACTGGTAACCCGGCCAATGCGATCCAGGTTTCACTTCCTCGAAAATCATACTGGCAAACGGTTAGTCAAGGTCAACTTATGATGTGAGCACTTTAGAATGGAATCAGAATTTTCGCATGTAGAAGAGGTAAAGAAGAATAATCTTCATTCTTTTCCCCTTCCAGAAAATGAGATTGGACACAGTTGTTGAGCATATACAGTAGGTTGGCTAACTCATGAAATGTCGACCGAAATTCTTAAATGCCTTTTCGTTTTAAGAAGATTAACTAAGCAGGGTTGTAAAACTAATCATTGACAAGCATTATTCTATAATAATTCAACTATCTCAGCATGCCGGCTTTCGAACGCGTTCTCTCCACAGGGTTCGGGGTCATCTAAAAGAGATAGTCCACAGCCTCATCTCCAACCGCTGTCCAATCATGCGAAGAAGACAAACGAACAGACCCCGCCGGCTAATTCCATCCTTGTGGAAGGAAGTTAAGTAGAAGAATAAATTTCGCAAAAAATTGGTTGCAGGAATTCCTAAACGGTCGAAATTTACAGAGAAAATTGGTCAAAATTCTCATTGTCAGAGATCGGCACGTTTCCGTAAAGGACCTTTGTAACCGCGCCCAGAATAATCCTAAAGTCCTTTACAGTTATATAAGGCAGAGTACGCGGAAAAGAGATTCAATCCCACTGTTGCGGACGACTGGGTTGTAAGAAAATCTCAGATGCCAAGAATGAAGCTGAATACCTCTTTCGGTTTTTCTGGTCCATCCTGAGAAGCGAACCCGTTTTTTTCCCACCCACTTTTGAAGACAAAGAAACGCCTACCACGGAATCAGTCCTCTTCACAGAAGCGCCTGCTAAAGAAGAGCTGCTAAACCCGAAGCAATGAACCTCCTCGGGCCCTAATGCAATCCTGGTCAAGCTGCTGAAGGAGTTAGCTTCCGAAATAGTCAAACCGCTAGCCTTGCTATTTCAAGCGTCATTTGCTACTGGGTGTCTGCCCTCCGATTGGAAGTCCGTTACCTTTACTCCACCCTTTAAGATCTGAAGTCGGGTGTCTGCAAACAGCCAACTACATAGGCTTCAAAAGACCTTCGACAGCCTTCCCCACTAACGTCTCATGCATAAACTGCGCGACGTAGAAGTTTGTGGAAGCCCTCTTGTATGGCTTCAGAACCTTTTCACTGGACAATCCCTAAGAGGACAGGTCGGACGCTAACAGTCCTCAGATGTTACCGCGGCTAGTGACGTGCCACAGGGCTCGGTTTTATGCCTCACGTTCTTCCACGGTTTCATAAATGGCTGCATCAAGGCCTAGACTGTGAGGTCATCCTGTTCGCTGGCAACGCAAAATTGTGGAAAGTTATTCGCAATGTGGCGGACGGTGACTACATGCAAATAACCTTGAACAGGCTCGAGAACTGGCCGAGGCGCTCGCTTATGCCCTATAATGTAATTAAGTGCAGTTTTCTTCAACTTAGCAGCTTCAAAACTTCCGGTTCAAGGGCGTTCTTCCGTCGCAGTCCACCACTGAAATAAAGTTGACATTCAGAAGGACTTAGGGTATTTGGATAACATCTTCACTCGAACTAACAGTGAACTGCGCGAAGGCGTCCAAGTCGGCCATGTCTACATTGCAACTCATTAGGCGAGCCTCTATGGGATTTGACCAAGACAGTTTTTCCAAATTATTGGACGTCTTTCGTGCTGCCGAATCTAGAAAACGGCATACAGGGATGGAAACCTTAGACAATCAAGGACAGTAACGTCGCCCAACCTGCATATATCTATGATACTTTCAACGGCTGAGTAAGCATTCATGTTTATTTTTTTTTCGTGTGACTGCCTGCTTTTTGAGTGTTATTATTTAAAAAATCTCTCTTTCTCGACTTTCCACTTACTGGGGCTTTTGCTTAGAGGATTAGGCGACCACTGCTACTGGTGTTACGTTTGACCATTCAGGTTTCAGCTTTATGCCCCGAGGAGGAAGCCTTGATGCAGTGGAAGCTCTGCGCTTATTAATCGATTGTTTCAGGCCAACGTAGGTCAGTTGTGGTCGCTAATCGAGACGTGTGTCCAGGACTCAAAATCTGTATTTAAAAAATAGTATAAAATCTTAAGGTTAAAATACGTTCGCGAACGCGCAAAGTAACTTGAACAGCAATATTCTCCAAAGCAGCTAAATAATCCGCAGAGAGGCATTAAAATGTAAAAGAAGTAGGTGATAAACGTGGAAAAAATAATAACAAAAAGAATGGGAAGCCCATTTTTAAACTTCCTGCGGCCATCAATGAGTCATAGCCTGAATTCTAACGGGACCACGCTGTCGGCTTTGCGAAACGGCTAGAGATCTGTGCTGGTCCCGAGACCGCACGCTCCTTCGATAGTCAACATTTTACGATGTGAAATGCAAGTAAACTCTGGGATATGTAACTGGCCATGTCAACCTAGAGAGCGTCTTCAGTTATTCATCGTCCTCTGGCAAAGGCGCGTTTAAAGAATGCTTAAGCCTTGCTCTTCAGTACCGGAATATCCATACACGTCCCTTATGGAAATTACTCTGTCGAGTACAAAGCCGTTATTCAAGTCATATGAGGTAAAACATTTTATCAAAAATGCAATTTATAGGCTCCAAAAAGAAGCCTTTGAGTTTTTTTGGCATCAACGGACCTTGATCGGATATTGTACTTATCATGACCAAAATATACGAAGACAGACTCTCTTCTATCCAAATCTAAACGTTCACTATTTTTCTGCGATGGCCATACGCCTGACTGTTCGACATCCGAGTTATATGTTGGTCGCAAAATCATTTCGCTGGCTTTCCTATAGGTCATCACTAGACAGACAGTGGAGGCGCTGGATAAGACGACTGGCAAACGTTAACACAGTTTCCTTATGCGTTTATTCGGGTACGTTTCATAGAAGGCAACCATATGCGTCGAGTACTTTGAAGGCTACAATTGCCGTCATCATCTCAGAATTTTAGTGCGCCGCGAGTAAAAGGGAGCGTCATTGCTCACTGATAACATACACGACAGCGAAAGCGTTTCAGTCTTGCCGGATAAATCGGTGAGGTTGTTGCTTTTGGATTTTATCAGAAATTAAACGCTGGCTTAGAGTAAACTGGTTTTAAGTAAGGTCAATAGGCCCTGTATAGTATGCTGTAAATCTGCTAGCTGTCTGTTAACAGTTTAGTGAATATAAAACGGTTATCTCGCTGCGGCTAATGAACTCCAACCCAAATATACATACTAAATTTCGGTTTGCTCTCACAGACCGTAATTCAAACAAATTTACTCAGAGTTAGCGGGATAATTTCCGAGAAAATTAAAAGGCAACAATTTCTCGACTGAGGTATCTCCTAGTTGGAACACGGGGAATGCAGGTTGACCTCGCAGCCGTGTCATGCGGCAGAAGAATTTCCACGAGCTGGCTTCTAGTCAGTACCTGTACTGCTAGTATGGCATCCTGTAACCCCAAACCAGTGCGACCTTTCAGCAGTGCTTACGGTTAAGATGAGCTTGAATTCTGCTGGTAATGCCTTATCGCATGCTTGCTTTAAAAGTCACGGGTAGACTTATTGAGCGTATCATACAGACCTAAATCCACTTCAAGAGCAACCACCCCGTTGGTAACAAACGCAGTTGTGTCAGGACCCTCTTCCAACGCGTTAAAACACATTGCAGCGACGACAATAGGAGGAAGGAGGAGATTACGTACTTGCACGCCCTATTTAAAGCCATCGGTTATCCTAAGTCCTTCATACGCAAGTGTCTTAAAAAGCCCCACCCTGAGCGGTCGGACGGAGAAAACCCGAAATTTTGGCTCGCAATCCCTTATGCGAAAAACGTGTCAGAGGCGACGGCAAGAATCCTAAAGCCTTTCCGGATCGGAGTGACTCATAAGCCAGAGTCAACAATCAGACAGCAACTAATGAGGCCCAAAGACCCGCTACCGGTGACAGAACAATCAGCGGTGGTCTACAGCATACCATGCCAAAACTGTGATGCAAGGTATGTTGGTGAAACGGGCAAACGTCTTGGCACAAGATTGCATGAACACCAGCTTGCAATCAACCGCAAGGACAAGCTCTCTATGGTTTATGGCCACGTCAAACAGCAGAACCACAATTTCGCCTTTGAAAAGGCAAGGGTAATCAGCCGAGCAAATGATAAGATGGCCAGACTGGTGCTCAAAAGTTGGTCCTCGACTGGCACACTCAAAAGAGCACAAGATCTGCATCCCGCCTATCAGGCGCTACGCACACAGCTCGAGTCAGTGCGGACAAGTCCATCAGGACAGTCGAGCAAAGTGATGCGTGGCCGACAGCCTATGTCAGCAGAAAGTGGGAGAGAAGCCGGCCGGGGGTCATGTTACCAGCATGCGACGCCATCTCACCGCAACGCCCACGAGGCTGAGATCAACTCACATGAGCCCCAACAACTGATCAGTCCGTTGAGTGACGAGAGGGAGGCCGACAAACATGCTGGCTCGCCAACAATTACGACGGCCGAAAAGGGGTCATTAGTGGCAGGAGCCCACCGGCGGTCAATCGTGGAGAGGTCAACGCTAATCGGCGGCGAACGGGCAGGTCAAAGTTCGTGCCTCGCGCACGGATATAATACCAGGCAGGTATCAAGGCTGACGCAATCAAGACCAGCGGGAACAGTCAACGCATTACTCTGATGATGGAAACGAGGGGGTTTCCGAAACGTCAGTAAAAATATAACTCGGTCCATGAATTCGCCCCATCTTCTTATTCGTCTTCTTCGGGGGATGATGAACGCGAGACCTAAATCTGTAGATCTGCCCTTCAAAAATTAAAGCAATTATTCAGCTTGGGTCAGCATCTCAATTGCCGTCGTACAGTCTTGACAATTCAGGTTTTCAACGTACAGCACTGGGCCCCCTCTCTCTCTGAGCAAGTGCCTTTCAGCGAAATGACACAATCACACGCTGACGTCTAGAGCTCAACTCCCAGCTCCTCCTCAGACCCGGCAACACAGAGAGGATAAGCAAACGTACAGAGGATTGCCGTATACATAACATGAAGCTGATGCCCAGATGTCTTTCTGGTAAAAGTAGCAGGATGCATGCTTTCCGCACAGGTTCCCACATGTTTCGCTGATTTTCGACTGCCGCACTAGTGTCCCTAGTGACTCGGAGAGTTGACACGTCATACGCACGCTTCACCGGACCGCTTTTCGAATGATCAACTACACCGACCAAAAATAGTAAGCAGGTTTCCATACGAAGGTAAGTATATTGTAGCAAGCATATAGGTATTACCAATATTATAAAACGTTCTCATCTAAAATTTTCCGTCTTTTTAAGCACTAATTTACGAATATAGGTATTATCTCCAAGGCGTTTTCTGACGAAAAGGGCTCACTTGCACGTGATGTATATAGCGTCTTTGCTCACAGAAGGTGTGTTTATTGTGCCTGAACTGTCCTTAGTGGAAGACTAACATGAAAGGCATACCAGTGCATGGAAAATTTCCTATATGGAGGCGACACGGTGGAAGGCAGGTCAAAACTTGTCTTTGTTCAGTTAGTCAAGACACAGAGATAGCTACTGCATCTCCGCTTCATCCCCGACTCCTGAATGTTGGCCCGCACTGGCAAATACCTGCGAGCAGTGATCGCGGACTTCCAGCGCTGCACCAGACGTCTCGCCCTCCGGACAGGCTGCAAGGGATTCTGAATGAGGCGACGTTTCTGACTCCAAGTCCACGGCAGGATTCTCAGTGGGGGGATTTTGACGCAAATTGCTTGAGTAAGTGGACCTATAGGAAGGTAGCAGAGGAACTAATAGTTAAATGTAGCTTTTTTCCAGAACTTGCGCAGCCTGATGCATTCATTTAGGAAGAGACTCTTTTCACATGGTGTGATGCAAAAATACCTTTGGGGCGAAATTAAAATGTCGCAACTCGATTGATTCAAACTACACTAAATTTCATGTGGCTTTAGAGCTCCAAGCTGGCGTTGTCGAATGCGGTTGACTGAGGAGCTGATATAGTAGACTGGCTGCCTAATCTGAACTTACTGAGAAATCAGTCTAGAATCTGCCAGCTGACTGCTGACTACCACGCTCATTTCACCAATAGGTGTTCTTATTCCACAGAGATTGCCAAATTTCGCGCATGTGAGTCAAAAGGCATATGTAAATCCGTCAAAAATAATTATTAATAAAGTTAGACTGGCTTTTGGATAGTGGATTCTAGATTGACTGCTTAGGAACTCCAGCTTGGGTGGGTAGCTTACTGTATCAGGATTGGTGAATTCCATGGGTGACATTAAGCTAGATGTGTAGCACTTGAAGTAACTCACGGTTCCCACTCAGAGCTACTTAGCTTGGGCGGTAAGATAGTTGGCTGAACACATGCCTCGACCTTGCCGCTGTGGGTTCGAATCCCACCATCGGCCTCATTCTTTACTATTTCATCAAGCAGCAGTGTCAGGTACGACTCAAAATAACTAGAGATGAAGACGTCGGGTGTAGGGACTAGCATGCTTGGCGGATTCCGTCCAGCCATGTCGGTAGAGTAGCACAATCAATACTGAATCTCAAGGTCGTTCCCGAATTCCCCTACCGCCCTGCCATTAATTTTTCAATATTCTGCAAAATATGCGTTAAAGTGGAATTTTCTATTAATGTGGTTATTCGTGTTCCCTCGTTTTGTTTCGCGTTTTTTTAGACCAAATATGAAAACAGTGCAAAACGACCTCTCTACCCTCGTCATCTAAAATCCTGTAACTGTGCCATTTCTCTAGAATTTAAATTGTCTTGCTAATGTTAATATTTTAAGGACAAAAACCACTAATTCGCTGTGGTTAATTTGCTCAGTCTGTTTGGTATTTGATGAGTGTACGCTAAGCAAATTATGGCAGGTTGCTAACGCCTCTCTTGGACGAATAACAGATGTTCAACCTGTTGTAGAACATGACTCAGATGTGACAAAGATAGATGAGTCCTTAAACTCCAAAAAAAACAGAATTCCTTGTAGACATATTGCATATTTTCGCCATAGTGGGTCAAAGGCTTACACAGTGCCTGCAGATCCTGGTTTCCTGTCGAGAGAGACGGTGATCTGTGTCTCGTTTATTTGGTGCGGCTGTGACTCAAGCACCCTTTTTGGCGAATCAGAGTCACGGAAGTCAACGAAACCACGACCGGTGAATTGACGTTCCTCTAGCACGCCTACATCCATGACAATTCCAAATTTGGAGAAGTACTCGTGCAGACTGCACTCGTTTATCGATTTAGGCAGAGATCCAAGGTAGATTTTGTTGGGGTCCACGTTCTGACTCAGTTCCTTCCCAGAACTAGGTTTAAAAGGACAAAAATGTCAAGGTTACACAATGGTCGATATGTCGGCCACATTTTTCGTGGTCTAGGACAGACGTGCTTGCAAAAAACATTCTACATACTCGGAGTATAAGAAAGGACTACCCGCTAACGTCATTAATATATATCCTATCTGAATTGTCATGTCGTGATGAATATTTTAATTTTATGCTCTGGTTTAGAGACTGCTGCCTCACCTACGTTCTGATATTAGAATAATTCGGTTAAAGAAGTTCCTTTGTGACACTGAATGTTACCATTTACAGTCAACAGGACGCAAACCTTTAGCTCAACTGAAGGAGTAAGCTTCTATTTTTTTTCTGCGCTGAATTGGCATGTGGCTTACAGGTGACGGAATAGCACAATCGCTCAACAGGCTTTCGATTTTCTTTTGTCATCCTTGCATTTTGGCGTCCCAGCACGCCATCAGGGAATGTTTCCCCTGGCTGGCATACACATTCACATTCGAAAATGGTCTCTTTCCTGTCGGGCCTTCAAGAAGGCCAAAATTTTATGGCACAAATAATTCCCTTATCTTCACATTTCTTTGGCCGGACACATGTTTGTTCACGAAAATCACAGATCTTCTAGGCTATTTGCCACAACATTTGGCCGCAGTGATTGACAAGTTTGCATCATGGCCAATCGCAACTCACATCCCGAATGTAAGTGTGGTTAATATTGGTAGTGAATTCCTGATCACTGGATATTCCACTAATGGGTTCCCTGGACAATAACCAACATCGGAGCCACCATTGTGAATGTTGACTGTCATATAGCCTAACTAACTGTCGTCGTTATTCCCACACATTCAGGTTAGCATACCAGCCATCATACAACTATCTGCAGTAGGTGGGCAAACTCAAGAAATGTCAACAGAATTTCCAAAATGCCCTTCCGTTTCGAAAAGATTAATTAAACTGTGCTATATAACTAATAATTATGCAGCAGAATTCTATAATAATAATTCAGTTACCACAGGAAGCTGGCTTTTGAACAAAAGTCTTTCTGGCTGCATCCAAAAACCATACAGCTTAAAAAATGGCTACTTAAGTTAAATGCATTTTTCATTGATTTTCGATGTCCTTGAAGATTTAATTATATTTCTTAGAAAACATGCATAAATATTTTAATTGTTTGCTCATTCAGTGGAAAATTACGTCTTCTTTCTGCTGCACGCTCGACGGAAGTGTATTATTCGATTTAAGGTTACACTTGTGAGAACTTTTTATATGGTGTAATGGCCCTTCATAAAACGTCATGTCTTTGCATTTATCAATATGGCTTACAAAGCTAAGGATGTGGCTCAAATTCACTGTTTAATTTTATGAACCCTATACTGTCCCCCTCTATTACCCTAGAGAAATGTATGGTTTTGCGTACGCGGAATTTATACGGCTTGTAGTTTGGTAACCCTCGATGCATGTGTAACGGTGGGGTTGGTCCAGAATTATTTGGAAATCGGCAAAGTTTTATAAAACCAAATTACACCCTTCCTTTGACTGTAAATTTAGAAGAAGCCGTAGTTTTCTACTGAATGAGCAAAAGAATGAAAATTTTTGTGCATTTTTTATGAAATATAACTGAATCACTTAGATCATCAAAAATTAATCAAAAAATACATGTTACGTAAAAAGCCATTTTTTAAGAAGTATGGTTTCAGGATACAGCCAGAAAGAAGTTTGTTTGAAAGCTGGAGTCCTGTAATAACTGAATTATTATAGAATAATGCCGCATAATTATTAGTTTTACAACCCTACTTAATTAATCTTTTCGAAATGGAAAGGCCTTTCGGAATTTCTTTTGATATTCCTTGAGTTAACCCACCTGCTCTAGATAGTTGTATGAGGGCTGGTATGCTAACGTAAATGTGTGGGAATAACGACGACAGTTAGTTAGGCTATATGACAGGCTACATTCATGTTTTGTTTAATTTCCGAGGAAATTAATGCGCGAACTTGGAGTAAATCTTTCGAAACTGACCTTTTTAGGCACGGTCCGAAGTTTGACATAAATATTTGAGCTGAAATCCATCAGCAACTGCGGAAAAACCGCTTTATATTCACAAACATCCAACAGGCAGCCAGTAGTAAGGATTGTGCAGTGATTAACCGTACTAACAACGCAGTATACATTCGCAATGGTTGCTCTGAAAATTGTTAATTATCTGGCAAAAAGTGTTTTGTTGGGTCGGAAATTGTATGCGCAAACATGTATATATAGATTGGGCGCCACGTGCTGCCACTTACGTGTGGCTTTAGAATAACTTCTCGTCATACCACCTACCCCGACAGGCCAACACTCTGTGCACGCTACGGGCATCCAGAGACACATCACCAGAGCCGGTTAAAACTGACAATCATGCTTATCTTCCTACCATTCCGCCGCTACGTTTAAGCACTTCGCGTGGTGTTCGTCTAGCGGTTTTTCCACATGTAGATAGAAAATGCATCTTTTCTTGACGGTGGGACTTAATAAAACAAAAAAGCCCAGAATCGTCTCAGCACATGACGTCCCTTCCTCCATTCAAGAACCCCTCCTCCCCTCATATCCTTCTGTGCACTATGAATCTACAAAATTCTTGAATCCTGCCATTCACACCTTCTAGAATTGAGGTGCTCCATTAATTACGTGATTGTAAAAAAAAACAGGAAAAGTGGAAATGGTTTTCGAGTTGCCCAAATTTGGAGACGAAAATATGTTTACAACAGGCACCGTTATTGTAGTCCGTTCCATTGTGACGACACTTTGAGGCGTCTCTACAAGTTATGCACTATGCTTCAGGTGTTGATGTTGTAAATGCCGTCAAATGCGGACGAGTTCTGAAATACAGAAGAATCAACTCTCACTTGTCCAATTCACAAATCCTTCTATTTGTAGATCAAATGCTTACCCGGTGTCTGTTGATCTAGGTTCCTCGGTGCGAGATACGGTAATTTGTCTTTTGTTTAATTTGTGTGGCTGGGACTCAATCACCTTCGTTGCCGATTCAAGGTCACGGAAGACAATAAAACCACGATCGAGTCGTTTAAACCTTTCCACCAATCCGACGTCCTTGACAAGGCCAAATTTGGAGAAGTACTCACGCAGATCGCTTTCCGTTACCGCTTGGGGCAGGGATTCAATGTTAATTCTGTTTGGGTCCGAATTCTGTTTCACTTCCTTTTTAGATCTAGGTTAAATAAGCGGAGATCTTGAAGTAAGGCATTTTCGAAATGTCTAGGTGTCGAACTTTTGAAGTCCTGGTTTGTTACAAGGAAGCGAGTTATATCAAAAATTCTAAAATGGAAACGCCAAACATCTATAGAAATTTTCTTCGAAGCCGGACAGATAAATGACATGCGCTGTATAGTTGTCAGTCTATTCATAATTATGCTAGAAAATATTGGTTCGATCTCAGTTTCTGAGGGAGACGATGCTAATGGCAACATCCACATTCAATGGATCTGGGTGGATATTCAAATAACAAAATTGACGCTACAGAAATACAGCCAGTAACATGATAACAATAATAAACCTTTGGAACAGAGCGCTAAGACGATATCGGTCTGGTGACATTATGATGTGTGCTGGTATACTGGACCAACTTGTGCTGAAAAGCTCCATTGGATGTGCATATGACGCTATCTGCAGGCAAAGAAGTCAAAACCCCGACCACTCCGTTGAAAAAGAAGAACTTTCTTAGGTCCAGCCTGGCGCCAGTCACACGTATTTTGAGTGGATGTCCACGGAGTTTCGTTGTGGTTGCTAACTCAAAGAAGTCAGCAAGTAAAAGACAGCAGTCCTGACCGCGCATAATAAGCAGTGTGTCTATCAGGTGGCCTCTTAGTTGCCTGTAACTCAGAGGAAAAAGGCCGAGATTGGATAACCGTTTTTTATAGGGTAGTGTGCCCTGTCCAATAACATGATTGGTCGCCCATCTTTAAACTTTCTCAAGGATGTTGAGGTTTTTAGTGGTCCAGGGTTTCCGCGCTTGAATATCGAACTCCCACTTTTCCTTGTCACGCCGTGCAGCAAAGATGTCGAAACAGTTCTTATTGGAAGTTGGCCTTGAGCGGATACGAAAACTGACAGCCGAAGGGCTGCTGCGTGAGTCGTTAGCTAATGTTTTCAACATCAGTCAGGTGGCTCTTTGAAGAATTATTAATAATCAAACAGTGCCTAGAGCTAAGCAAGGTGGACCAAAACGGTCCACAAGCAAGCAAGACGACGATTTCATTCGTTAGAAACTGAAAAAGTACCATTATAGGCCCCGTAAGTCTCTTTGCATGGATCACCTGTCAGCGTTTTCTTCGCGCATAATTAGAAAAGGAATGAAAAAATTCGGCCTCCATCTGCAAAACGCCGAGTCAAAGCCATGTTAAGTAGGAAACTTACTAGAGAACGTTTTTTGCTTGCTCAAACTTATATTGATCACAGACATTCATTTTTGAAAAGCATTTACTTTTGTGATGAGGTCCTATTTTTAGAAAAGCCTCCGAAGTCAATCTAGGTGGTGAAATGCGGGAAGAACTTCCCACGCGAGCACACTATATTGACGCCAACTTTCAAGAACTGTCGACGCCTGATGGTTCGGATGGCCATCAAGATTGGAGAGTGACCAGTTTGGCGTTCAAACACGGAAACTATAAACAGCAAGGTCTTCATCGACATCGTAACCGATGTCTCCGGCTACAGCGGGCCTGGATCCCATCGAAAATCTTTTTGCATTAATCAAAAGAAAGTGGGGCAAGGCAAGAACACATATTTCTCGAGTTCCCCTTCCTTACACTCAACGTACTGCCCTTATTTCATTCGAACCAAAGATCGGTGGACGCAAAGCGGTTATCTGCACGCTCTGCTCGCCGCCAACTATTTTGCCAAGGCAAAGTCTCAGTGCCGAATATGGAGAGGAGGAGTCTTTGCGCCTGTTGATTGATTAAGAACTAAAAAACGTTGACTCGATCAGTTCACGGCCCACACGGTTGTCGCTTGTAGAAAGCATTTCTGTTATGTCAAACGGGAATGAGCGGTTGTGTTCTGTCGAATGAGCCTCAACCTGGAAGTCGAAATCGTTCCTCCCCACTGCTACCGCCTACTCAAATATCCGTGTCCGGAGTAGTCTTCCGGTTTGTCCGAGATTGTTGCTGTGCCTACAACCTCCCCTGACCCGAAAAGCGACTCCAGATGGTTTTTGCCGTGTTAGTGGATCTTTCGGCCTCACGATCTGGCGCCTTATGGTTGCCTCCGGTCCGCGTGCAACTCCAATTCCAAGGGGCGTAGGAAGGCGACTGACGTATTTCGAGACACTCTTCACGTACGGCAAAGGTTGCCAAAAGCTATCTGACTCTGTCTTTGATGATTGATTTGAGTGAAAATCCGAAACGTCAGGCCAATAAAAGGGAGATGTATTAGATCGTGCGGGGAATTCACCTGTGGTCTTCAAAGACAAATCGGGGAGCAGGAAATGCATGGACCGACATTTTGGATTTTCATTTGTTTACACGCGCCAATCAAGTAGTGCGCAATCTGACTTGCCTTCCATTAGTCCTGCCTCTGCTTTTTTGTCTGGTACGCAACGTCGGATGCCCGAGGACGGCTAAAGTTCGGCTCAGTCTTTTAAACCATCAATTGCGATTGGCGTCAAACGAAGGGCTGACTTACCCACAGGGTAATAATCGGCCCCCAACCTACTAAGTTTCCCATGTTGATTTGACAAATATGTCAATGCGTTTCCACTTTATTCTCTGGAATTCGACCTAAATTTGTTCCCACAATGAAGATTTGATGTAAAAATGATACACGTTAAAAATTCCGAAAATCAGTAGTACTTCAACAGTCAAAAGTGACCTTCAATTACAAGATTTAAGTCTGCTCAGAACACGCTAATAATACACAAATGATAGAGTACAATGCTAAGAGATCCCTGTTTCTTGCGAAATGAAAACTGGTCAGGAGATGTGCAGATGTTGAGGGCTGAACGCGGTTAAATGTACTTCAAACATACTACAGGCGACTTTGCGCCAAATTCCAAGAGGGAACATATTCCCACGTCTTAGCATTAACCCTATGTCTAACTCCTACTCTGGAGGAGGAGGAGGAGGAGGAGGAAGAGGAGCAGTAGGAGCCGGATAGGGGGATGGGGTGGGGAGGAAGAAGAAGAAGAAGAAGAAGAAGAAGAAGAAGAAGAAGAGGAAGAGGGAGAAGAGGAAGAGGAGGAGCAAAATGAACATATACAGTGAGTGACCGATCTCATGAAATGTTGGCTGAAATTCTGAAATGCGTTTTCGACTAGGAAGGATTACTTGGTCGCGGTTGTAATACTGACTATCTTAAGGCATACTCTTATAACATTTCAGACTCGGAAACATGTCGGCTTTTAAATGCACTTCTTTGCAATCTCCTGTGGAAAGCGTGCTCGGTAAAAATGACTACTTAATTAGCATGCATTTTTCCCATTGATTTTTGATGGTCTTGGAAATTCAAATATATTTTATAGAAACCATAAACAAAAACAGGCTTTCTTTTAGTCAATTAATAGAGCATTACGTCTTCTTAATATTTTATACTTAAGAAAGGAGTATAATTAGGTTTTTAAAAAGTTTTCTAATCGCCAAATAATTTGGAGGCTGATCATTCGTTGCACTTGCGCTTAGTGATTTCACTCTACAAAGTGCATGCGTTCCGCGTAGAGAAAATCTCATATTTTTCTATTCCATTAAAGAGATATCACACAGATTCCATAAAATTTTGCAATGGATGCGGACCATATTGTACATTTTATGAGGAGCAGTAATAAACGGCCAGGTACGATGCTATGTGAGTGGAAATTTCGCGGTCTTAAAAAGTCTCATAATTAGAAACTTTTTTAAAAGCTAATTATACTCCCTTCTTAAGTATAAAATATATAGAAGACGTGATGTTTTATTGATTGACTAAAAGAAAGCCTATTTTTGTTTATGGTTTTTATAAAATATATTTAAATTTCCAAGACCAACGAAAGTCAATGGGAAAAATGCATACTAATTAAGTAGTAATTTTTACCAAGCACGCTTTCCACAGGAGATTGCTAAGAAGTGCATTTAAAAGCCGACATCCTGCCGAGTCCGAAATGTTATAAGAGTATGCCTTAAGATAATTAGTATTACAACCGAGACCAAGTAATCCTTCCTAATGGAAAACGCATTTCAGAATTTCAGCCAACATTTCATGAAATAGGTCACCCACTGTACATATTTGGGAACAAAGGTATTTATACTTGAAACACATAGGAATGGAATTTCATTAGGCAGAGTCAGACTGCAGTTATTTAGCAGCGCCATCGTCCCCCTCCCCCCATAAACTGTCGTTTGTTAACATAAGAGACGAGAAGGTATTCGAATTGCCTCGGAAAAATAGATTCTATCGAAGCAGGTTTGGATAATCCACGCTGAAAGTCTGCCAGCATGCTGCTTTTCATGCCTTAGACGAAACTTGATCCCAATGATGCCAAGAGCAAATAGAATCACTAGAACTCAATGAGTGGATGAGCAAAGAAAATAGGGACTGCCTAGAGACGGGGAGAAGGAATTGCATATGTAAAAGGCAGAGGAATAGCAAACGTTAGAGCATTCTGGTAGAAAACTCAACTGGACTCGCTGTTGGGTCCTGCAGGAAAGGTAATCACTACGGAGCATTGCCGGATCGACTTTGAGACGACGACCATGCAGGAAGTGACAGGCCTCCAGAACGCCATCATTCATGGTCCCTGCGTCAGCGAAGGTGACGAACCCGTAGCCCCGAGACACGCCTGTTTCCCTATCGATTATTATTTTGGCCCGCCTTACTGTGCCAAATTTGGAGAAGTAGGCTTCGAGATCGGCTTCCGTGGTGTCTCGTTTCAACTGACCAACATATATGGTTTGCTTGCTAAGGGTGACATCGTCATTGCTTCGCTCTTTGGCCGCAGTGTCAGGTGTGACATTCCTCATCTGATTATGGTTGGAAACACCGTGCTGGGCAGATCTTTGGAGTAGATGAGTAATCGAATGAAACAACAAAAAATGAATGCATGCACCTAAGGAGACGGGTTTTTAGAGACAGATCTATTTCAAGAGTAGACAGTATGGTTTTCAGGATATGAACTAGAGTTAATCTTTGGATAATGAAAGTACATTCACATTCACTGTCCCTCAGTTTTTGTCTCGCATCTATTTTATCTTTGGCAGCTGCCTGGCGCCTGATATGCTTGTGCTTGATCCACCCCGGCGAATGCGCGGGCTAAAATAATTATTTCTGGACTGCTGTAGCTCACGGACGTTTCTCGGTTTCCCTAGCAATTAATCTTATTCCGTTGAGGTTAGTGTTTTGCTAAATCTGCACTTTGTGTCCGGCAACTTAGTACAAGTGACCGTCTCTCACATCAGCCATGTGCAAGTGCCTTCATTTAATCATTACATGACCTGCTCTACTGCAGTAACTTAAGAAATAATTACCGAAGACCCTGCGGTTAAATGTGGCAGACTGTTCGCTCTGCGTACAGGAAGCTATTTGGTTAAAATCGATGGCAGATCTGGACATCAGATGACTGATAGTTGCACAGGTTCAAATCAAACTCTGCATGTTTTGGTGCCCTTGGCAAGATCGGTGTCCAAGGCATGGTGCAGATCCCTCTCGGTGAGCAGCTAGTAATGGTGTAGACAAGCCCTTATCCGTTCTCTCCGGATATTGATTGTGCATTGGTAGAGGGGCGCTCACCGAACGATTCCACGGAACTCACTCGACTTGTTGTGCTTTAGGGCTATCTCTCTCGAGTCCAACCAGCAGCCGCACAGCGGCTCATGATCTAAGCAGAATGGTATTACCAAAAAAGACAAGGGAGACTGGAATGGCCATTTCTGGCTTATTAGCCGTCGTCAGTCAGTCATATCCAACCTCGAATTGTGGAACATCTGGGGATCGAACTCGCGACCTGTTAGTTAGAAGTCCAACGCCTCTAAACACTGGGTCACGGGCCCGTTGTCCTGTCGATTGCGATCGGGAATATACAATGGTAGAGAGGGCGCTCACCGATCGTTTTTACGCGACGCACTCGTCCCGTTGTGGCTCAGTGGTTAGAGGCGTTGGACTCCTAACTAACAGGACGCAAGTACGAATTTCGGGTCTTCCAAACTTTGGGGTTGGTATGACTGGCTGACGACGGCTAATAAGCCAGAAATGGCAATTCCAGTCTCCCTTGTCTTTGTCGGTCGTACCATTCTGATTGTGGATTTCTGAGGTTTTGCTTGCCCATTTCTTACTGCGTTTGTATAACCGGACGTTCGTGCCATGGGGCGGTTCCTGTTGTTGGACGTGCGAATTCGAGAAAAATCCCTAGCGTTTCACGACTAGGTCGTTTAACTGTTTTACAATCAAGAGCTTCCTTATCAACATCCGCTTCGACTGCTTAAATTGATTGCCTTTTTAATGACGCGGCAGTTTCTTTTCGTCCGTCTCTGATGACATTCTGCTCTTTCCACTAGGTTATTTAATGTAATTCACGATCACGCTTATGTGCAATGTGGTCCATATACGCGTCCCATAAACTGTAATTTAGTTTGGATTTTTCATAATTTAATTATATTCACTTTGCTACGAGGTGTTTTTACTGCAAATAATGGTGCACTGGCATTAATGTTGCAATTTTCTTTCTCCCCTTATCTTTCTCATGTATTACGATGGGCTGGTTCTCCGGATATGATATTTTGGTACCGTTTTCAAACACTGCAGATTTGCAATCATAAAAGAATTTGACTCGGATTCTGAAATATGTCTTTAGTTCAAACAATCACCTCAGTAAATGTGTAATATTAATAATATTGCAGCATAGTCTCAAGATATATCATTTGGGCCATGATGCTGCCCGTCTGTCTGAATTGCACTTTTTTCAAAAATGAGCACTAAATCAGTAGGAAATTTTCTTTAATGATTTTTTGCTGTCCAATGCATTAAAATTTATTTTGGAGAAAACACGCATAATAATGTACTTTTTTAACCTCCTTAATAGCAAACTATGTCTTTTTCAATTTTCATACCTGAAGATAAAGTGCCATTTGCCGGATTCTTTAAAATTGAACAGCCATTGCAGTTGCATTTAAGATTTCTAAACCACAAGCTATATTGATTCTGTTTGAGAAAAATTATGCAATTCTAGAGACTCTTAAGAAGATATTGTATTAGGCCCATGAAATTCGCAATTGATGGGGACTACGTCGTTTACTTTACAAAAGACGTATATAACTGTACTGACGCGTAATCTGAAACTTTTTTAGACCTAGGAATACTTTTTTTAGCAAAACAATTAAAGCAGGCTCAGATGGCCAAAGATTTAGTGTATAGAAGGAGTATTCTTCTGCGTTATGTGTCATAGGTTATATATGAGAATTTAAAAGGATATTAAAAATTAATATGAAAAGTACATAGTCGTCACTTTTTCCAAAGGGCGGTGTGAACAGGCAGCCAGAAAAAATCTCGTACTGTGGTAACTAAAATATGTAAAGACAATACTGCATGAAAATCCATAGCATAAGACTACTAGAATAATTTTCTAATATCGAAAACACCTTTCAGAATTTCCATCAACATTTCATGAGGTAGCACATCTACTGTAATATTATATTTTGATCCTATAAATCCGCGCAGATTGCGGTTGTTTTTTGAAATTTGACAATTGCTTATAGATTTCCTTATGTTATCAATCAACTCGGCATAAAGTATGTTCTGTAAACCTTAGGCCTTAATTAAAATGCTGGGAGGCATTGGCCCTTCAGAATTCAAAAGTAATTTGCGATTATTAAATTTCGCTTATGGTTATTTGTCATGATCATAATCACTTGACAAATTACAAAGTCCAACAGGATGTGGTTTTTTAAAAGTTATGGCGGGACGCAAGTAGCGTACGAATAAATAACGGAGGGTACACATAATTTCTTAGGGAGAAACTCATCCATTTTAGGACAGCTATGTTTAAAATACTAATCCCTCGTGTGATGCCCTACTTTCCGCTACCTTTAATGTCGCTTTTTAAGTAACCTCCTATCCGGCCGCCTGTCTCAATTGCCCTCTTGTAAAAATGACCACTTAATTGGTGTACATTTTTCTTATTGGACTTTTTTGCTGTAGAGAAAACACGCATTAAATTTTGATTCTGTCGCCTGCTTGATAGAAAATTACCCATTATTGAAGATAATGGACCACTTGTCGTTGAAGAGCCTTACTTCCCAAATAATTTGGAGCCCGAAAGATTTCTAAGCTACAAACTATATGCTTTCTGTGTTAGAAAAATAATTCATTTCTATAGGCTCTTGAGAAGATATCACATGAGACCCATAAAATTTTACCATGGATGTAGACATCATTTTTTACGTTTTACAAATGCTGACGCGTTGTTGTATGATTGAAGATTTCACGATCTTACAAACGCCTATAATTTTAGACTTTTCTAGGCCGTTAAAATTTCATTTTTCAAGCAAGGATCGCTGGACGTGCTTTGGTTTACTTTGTTCTGGTTAGAACAGAAACACTTAACTTCCTCAGAATCCCTGGACGGTCTCTGTTGTCGAACGCGTACGCCTCACCCATATATTTCTTTTTAAATACCTGTGCATAGCCCCTCTCATAAACAATAGTAAGATTTTTTAAATTTAGTTAAGAAAGAGAATTTTACGCAATCCACCGTTGCCGGAGGAATGTTTAAGCAGTCACCATCTAGGTAAACGACTTCAAGAAACATCTTATTTTGAAGGTCTAGATAAAACGTAGAATTTAACCTGCCATTGTGAATGATCTATGCGTGAAGAATAAGCACACAATATGAAGGCCAACGAGCGGGTTGGCTGACGATTCAATCGGACTTACGATTGCTTAGTGGAGGCACGTGAGTCACCGGAAGGCAGTTCCAGATGTACTGTTAGACGACGGCCATTGAGATAGTGGTGGACATCCAGAACACCATTCTTAAAAGCATCTCCGTCAGCGAAGGTGACAAAGCCGTATCCCAGGCACTGGCCAGTGAAACTATCAATTACAACCCTGGCGCCTTTTACATGGCCAAATTTGGAGAAGTAATCAATGAGATCAGTTTCGGTGGCATCTGGTGTCAAATTGTCGACACGTATGAATGACTTGTTAGAGGTGAGTTTGGAAGCAGCCTTGCTCGGCATTTTAATCCGAGTGAAAGTGCCGGAGTGATCAGCCTTGTTACACTCTGAGATTTTGGGGTGTGAAATGCTGTAGGGAAGTAAGAAGTACAAGTGCAGTTTGAATAAGTACATAGAACACTGGGGCAAACGGTCATTGGTGACGTTACGATTTTGAGCCAAGACAGGTCGCTCTGTAGCGCTGTGAGTCAGCAATAGCCGGGCCGTCAATAAACGCATACTCACATTCCTAATAGCAGCTCTTTAGACGATCGATTGATTGATCGTCCGATAGGTAATCATTGTTCGCCGAAGCTTTTGGTCTGAACACATCTTACGGGTGTCAGTTTGACTGACTTTTGCGGTATAAATTTGAAGTTGTGTTTCTGTTTCGGATAAAACATCATGTTACAGGCACGGCGAAGACGATTAATAAATCATTAACAACTGGAGAATGTGTCTTCATTAGCCAATTTCCCAAAAAAGCGTATTCGTAGTGATGAAGCAACGTTCACGTCAAATGACCAAATTAATAGATTAACCTCTATGTACTGAGCAAGTGAATGTTCTCATATAATTCTCGAAAGAAATCTTAATACTGTCGGTGTCACAGTTGAAAATTGATACTTTTTTTCTAGACTCGATTCAGAAAGAGCAGAGTTAAAGCAATGGGTTTATGTTTATAAACCTAGACGGTGTATCGTTTTAGGAATACGTATTTGCAAATCTGTGTGATTTCATGATTTAAACCGCAGAAATATTTTGCCCGAACGTCCGATATTTTCCTGTCTTTGGCTAACACTTAATAAGTTATCACAAAACGGTCCTCTTCTTTCTGGCTACGTCAAATTAAAAGCTTACGTTAAGATATTTTTTGTGTGATCCAGTTCTCACTTGTCAACATTAATTTGCAGTTTTTGTTCATTCACTCGCGCCATTTTGGGAGTAATTAGTAATGTCTTGTAAATCTGAGCACATTTCGCCAGTTGCAAAATTAAATGCTCTATATGCGTATGGCATAGTAGCGCATTTTAACCATTGACGACGTGCAACAACGATTTCTCGATCATGAGTGATATGGCCCTGTAGACTTGTTCTATGCGAAAAGATATACAGTACGTGACCTATGTCATGAATCCTGATAACGGAAACTGATGTAAAAATTTCTAGACGTATCAAACGTTGCGCATTTTGCTTGCTCATCCAGACCCTTTCATGAAATACCCTTTTCTTGTGCATAAATAGTGTCTGCATTATTGTATGAAGAAAAATATTAATATATTTTAGCCAAAATGGAAGTCGCGATATATTTTTGTAATTTCCTATGATAATACCCGCCTTAGACTTCGGTTGCGCATTTTGGGCTGCTTCGCACTGGAAGAGGAGTAATGTATTCTCGATAATTCTAATAAACAGAGGTCTGCGGACTTAAAATTCATTTTTTGCCCGATACTTTCCGTGTGAATCATCTTGCTAACACAGACTATTTAGGATAACCGGATGTTTTATCGATCTGTGGAAGTGATATTAACAGGTATGTGGGATTTTGCGACCTGAGGTTCAATAATAACGCACACAGGCGATCCTTTGTTTAAATGTGTTGAAATCGTTTTGCCGTTTGGAAAATTTCACGTGATCTCACAGCAATAATCACCACCGGATGCTTATATCTAGTTTTAAAAGCATGAAACATTACTTGTCGTGCAACCTATCTTCTGCACAGACCTTATTCAGAAATGGAACGAGTAAAACACTAATAGCTTCAGTAAAATACCAGAATTTATATTTGCACTGCTGGACATTCAGAATCAAAAAACGAAGTCTAAGAGCGAACAACAACATTGAAAACGAGCGCACTATATAGGGAAAGGCCTATGTTTACCATAAGGGGAAAGATATAAGTATTGTTTAGGTACGTGAAAGAAACAGCCAAAAGTGTCAAATTTTCCCCGGCCTCTCCGTACAAAAACTCAAAGTACACAGACATCCGTCAACAGGGTTAAGTATTAAAGCAATTCTTAAACAGGTAACTTATTGTAGAAAGCTTTCTCATTGGTCGAAGGCATATTCGTTGCTGACCTTCGTTGTAGACGGCCACTTTATTCGATGTAAAGTTTTATGCTTGGTTGAGCCTTAAACCGTGACCCAAATGACCATTTACATTTAAGAACTTCTAAACCCTTTCTAATTCAGTAAAACTCTTTTAGAAAGTATTTTAAGTTAAAGTTTTAATAGACATGTAGTTCGGAGTCCACTTTATGCAGGATCGGGGAAAGCACTGAAAATCATGAAGCATTCAGCAATATTTCAAGTCCGATCTTAAGCTCAACTTAACCCGAAACGAACATAAATTGCAGACCAGTTTATCAGAAAAAAAACGTTCTATTCATAAACACAAAATGGTACGTTTGCGACTACGCCTGTCAATTCTATTTAAATTTATTAGCCACCGATCGGTCTGGCACCGTGTGGCGTTCAATAATGCATCCAGTCCAAACCACACCCTTATGCGAGTGCTTAGCCCAAACAATGAATTTAAATCAGACCCTCGTTAGCATTGACACCTGAATTCGCTGTCTAGGAATGGTGTAGAGACTCATCTGGAGCACTGTTAAAGACTGAAGATTGTTAAATCGCTCAAATACAGCAAATTAACCTGATTCAAAGCAGAGTATGTTTTCCGTGCGATCCGTGATATATCACAAAAGACCAAACATTTAGCAGTTAGAAGCAATGCCCTTGCATTTATGTAAGGAAGAATTAAGTGCATAATTAGATCGAGGTTTATGAAAAGTGCGGACAGGGGGGACAATTAAATAGTGTGAGTAAATCGTGAGTAATTTATCTTTTACTGAGGAATAGTTTAAAGCATTTTCTAAAGGGTCTACGATGTTCGATAAAACTTAAAAAACGAAAACGTTACAGATAAAGACCGTTTTCATGAAGTGCGTTACTAATTAGGATGGAGTTATTGAGCGACTTTGCAATACGGAATATCATACAGTATAATCCCATGATAGTTCGGACACCCTAGAATGTTGCCCTTTGAGAATACTCCAAACCGGCGGTCTGAATACACCGCAATAGCTGAAAAGCGACTATTTTGTGAAGTAGGCATTTTTTCATTTATATCCCAAACCCTTTTACACTTAAATATACCTTATGAGAACCTCATCAAAAATATTACTTAATTTACTCACTCGGTAGCAGATAACCTATACTTCAAACTTTATTTTTGAAGAAAGGAGGTCTGCTGTTTCAGTTGCGTTCAAGGCCCTTCAGTCTACATGTTGCACGTGTGCATTGCAATAAAAATCATATATTTCTCTTTAAAATGATACTGTTTACAACTTATTGACTTTTGCATTGAGTGTGGACTGCGTTGTATAGTTCACAAGGGTCATTAATATATGAACCGACACCATGCCATTTCAAAGAGAATTGTGTAGTTTTCAAAAATCTCATAATTAGAAACTCTTGAAACTGAAAGACACATTGGCATCAATCATAAACTTGAATAAGACGTACCATGTGACGAAATAAGCATATGTAATGGTATTTTACTGAGGTGTTGCCTCGAAAAAGAATCAGAAAGGCGCGTTAATAATCGCCATATTTTGCTAAGTATAAGTTTTTCGGACGGCCGAAAAGAAGTGCATTCAAAAGCCAACATCCCACCCTATCTGAAACATTATAGGACTTTGCCGCGTGATAACCCGTAGTTCACCTCAAGCTAGGTGATCCTTCCTAATTGAAAGCCCACGTTAATATAATATTTTATGAGATTCGTCCTAACAGCTGAGGTTTTGGTCAACAGCAAGGGCCCTTGGCTGTCGGGAGCATTGAAGAGACAGTAAGAAATCCTCTTAAGATGTAAATCCGAAGAGGTCTACAGCATGTGTTAGGCGTGTGTGTAGGTCAGAATGCTGCTCCCTTTAGCATTATTCTAACCCGATGTGGATGTTAAGAATACCAAAGGTAAAAGTGAGTCGAATAACTGATCGCAATTGTCGTTTGTATCAATAGCGCAGGTTTCACTCGCATTCCATGTAAGATGCAACATCGAGACATATGATTGTTGGGCATTAATTTTGCCTTTAGACAACAGCATGCATCGGACGCACATCATCCCATATTTCATAGCTTTCTTCTCAGAAAAATTACAAACAAAATTCAACTACTTGCCAATCAGCCTACCTAGGGAAATTCTTACTCGACTGAATGCTCTGAGAGAGCCAACAGCAGGAGTCAGAAATGCAGATAGGGGATGCAAAAAAATTTAAAAATAAGCCCTGATTTCATTGTAACAGAAATGTAACATACGACCCGTTGTAAAAACGGAGAACATAATTGTATAAGTACAAGCGAATAAGTTTAATTGGCACTACTTAATGGCATGCGGGGCTCCCACCCATTGTTCTGCATCGACTGCGTGTTATCATACTCGAGACAGAGTTCCTGATGCTTCTGAATCAATCCACCCTCGAAGGCGGCAATTTCGTGCGCGTCATCCACTGTTGGGATCAAGAAGTCAATCAACTCAATGGCCTTGATTGAAAATATGAAAATCAAGCCTTACGATGCGCTGACACGAGGGCATTA